TGGTTGTCGGAATGAGTTGAGATGAGCAATGGATGGCTTATCAACCTCTTCCTCCTTTTCTCAGCCTCTCAGCCTGCTGGTCGGGTGATTCAGGAGGATGACAGAGAAGACACGAGAGACTTAAAAACACAAAACACCCACAGAGGATGTGCGAAATGCAAATGTCGAAAGACTCTCTGCACAGAATAACTCAGATCTAAAGATTCGTCGATTTAATCAACCTATCAATTAGTCGACTGGATGTTAGTCAACTCTCATTGTGAGGTACCGCTCGCCGGTCAAACGTGCCTCGTCTGAGCCAAAGCGAGATTGAGCCTGAGTCTGGCAGAAGAGACCGAACAACGCCAGACTGGCCGCGCACAGACCAAATGAAGCCAGGCCGTGTCATGCCAGACCAGAGACACTGCCAGCATTAGACATGAAGCACATTACTTCAGCATAATTACCCTGGTTGTGGGGACAAACGTCAGATGGGTGTGCTAATGCTCAAGCAAGACAAGGCTCTTTATGCGTGTGTGCTGACTGAGGAGACAGTGCAGCATTAGAGCAACACATTACACAGGGGAAGGAGGAGCTATTCATATACTACGCTAGCGCTCACGAGCTAGTGGAGCGAGCTGTGCTGTGCTGTGCCGTGTGTGTGTGACAGACGCCGCCGCAGGGCTAAATGTTTCGCCATCAACAAGATGATGGCACCAGTTCTGTGTCAGCGCGGGTCACTGCACCGCTTCAACACACAACTGGCTTCTTGGGTATACGTCACGTATGTTATTCAGTTATGAAAGCTTTTGTGAAAGCAGTGCCATTAAATCACGTATCGACCGTTATGGATCGACACTAATCATTAAGGTGGTTTCACTGCATGATCATCTGCTACCTCCTCCTGCTTAACAGCAAGCCTGAATGGGCAGTGGACATAAGTCCTGAATAAAAAATCAATACACACCACACATGACCAAGTGCTACCTATCTCGCTGCCTCTTGAGGTTAAATTGATTCACGGGTGCTCACTTTTTCTTGGAAGGGCCCTTCACCGGTGGGGGTTGTTGGGAAGGGCCACCTTTCTCGACCGAGTTACCACGGCGACAGCTCCGCTCTCCGGCCGCGGGGGAGGAGGAATCTGATTGGGCGGCTTCGCAAACCACCTGGAAGCCCTGTGGGTGAGAGGGAGAGATGGATGGATACTGCAGATGGGGGGAATAAACAGGAAAGACCTGATGATTAAAGGCTCTGAGGTTGGAGGGAGGTTCCTGTCATGACCCTGGCTAACCGCGCTAATGCTCCCGGATGGCTGGCTGCTAATGAATATTAGCAGCCAGCCTCAGGGGGATGTTGAAAGGGGGAAGGGAAGAAGCCTCACACTCCTTCCTGAACACATTCAATCAACACGAGGCGATGAATCAGACATGATCTAGGCATAAAGCGCTCACTCACCATGGGACCCGGGTTGCCAGATCCACAGGGGCTGCACTGGTTGTTGACTGGGGAGTTCCTCTTCGCTGTTGAGACAGGCGGAGCAGATTACACGTCTTAATTATGAACAAACAAAATAGATAACCGCTTACAAGGGACCTTCGTGGCCGTAAGTGAGGATTTTTTTCTCCACCTGTCACAATGTTTCTGACTGGTTTGATGAGTGCAGTAAAGGCAGAGATGTCAGGCTGGCGGTGCTCCCACATTGGCTGCCATATCACCAGACCGCTGGCCAATCGAAAGGTCAGGTCCGACTCCTTGAAAAGAAATTATACATTTAGAATCTCATTTATAGAGGAGGCGGTTTTTGCACATTTAGCCCTTCTTCTCAACCATCCAATTATCATCCAATCAATGTAAGAAGCAACTTGTTGGACGTTTTATGACTTGAAATGCTTAGATTTAATCATCTTGTTGGACTATTCCACAGTGCACTGCTATTATGATATGATCACTTACATAAGATACAGTCATTGATTGTTCAGTTGGGAAACACTGGAGTATTGTAACCTGACCCTTGTATCAGTACACACTGATCAGTAGCCAGAGGGTGACACTGAGTATGTGTGTGTTGGAGGGTTTGATATGGGACAGGCTGAATAAATCTGCTGCGAAATAATTATTTTTACAACAGAAAAGAGTACAACTGCACAGTTACAGTGGATGGAATTGATCCTGCATACTGGTGTATTCCAAGGCATTTGTATCTCCAGGTACGGACCTTTATCCGATGAATAAGCGGAGCGAACAGGAACACAAACAGCTCCACCGTGGCCATACTCTTGTGGAACAGCTTGGTACGAGCATGCTCATCCTCCTCCAGCAGGGAGCCGCTGTGCTGGAGACCCGACCCCCCCCAGGGCAGAGCCGGAGCATGAGCCGGGAGCCCCCGGGGACGAACCCTGGTTGCCCACCGGCTGGAGGAAGGCGCTGCTGCTGCTGCCCCCCGACCAGCCGTGGCTCAGGCTGGGCTCGTGGTTGCACTCCTGGGCAGCGTCCAGCAGCATCCAGTGCAGCGTGTGGAGCAGCTTGGTCTCGGCTACGCCCAGCTTGTCCTGGTGGCCTGTCGGAGGTCAGAGGTCAGGGTGATGAAGAGAATGAAATATTAAAAAAATATTGTATTAGTCCATTTTTAGATGTACTGTAAGTCAGGCAGTTCTGTAGCTGCCCTGTGGCTGAAAGAAGAATCAGTTTTGTGTTTTGTTGAATGAGGATAACCTGGATAAGGCTGTCATCGCAATACCTAAAGCGCACCTAATGTGTGTGTTGCGTGTCCTCACCTAGCCTGTTCCTGTTCGACAGCAGGATGGAGGTGCAGTGGAGTACATGAGGCAGGGCCGCCTGGACGAGCTCCCAGCGGGAGATGCTCTGGATGGCCTCTGACAGGGCCGGCGACAGCCCGTGGAGCTTATTCTCCACCAGCACCCGCTCAAAGGACTGGGGAGGCAGCCAGAGAAAAGGAGAGAAAGAGACATCAGACAGGAACTAAAGCCTCTTTCTTTGACTATCTAAATGCCCCCGTATGGCCCCAAGCAAGGCGATGCCCGTGGGAGAGACAGAGGCAGCTCTGTTTGGATCCAAAGGGATCTGGATAAGCGTCATTATGGATATGAGTTTGCAGAGGTCTGGCTCCTGGTTAATGGGAGGAAGCAAGAGGGAAAACTAATTTGCTAAATGTAAAATCAAGAGCCCACTTGATTTGCAGGTGCATTAAGGTAAAAACAGATTACAGGGAACGGAGCGATTGTTTCCCCACACACGGCATTGTGAAATAACTCACCACACAAGATGCTTCATACTGTTTTCCCAACTTTGGACGCAGAAATGCACTGAGAAACACAAAAAAAACACGCTTATATAACATTTAAAAAAATGCTAAATGTAGGTTACACCATTAAATCTCCTCTGTCAAATCGTTTTTCTGACGATATATACTGCACAGGACATTTTGCACAAACAGGAGCTGTCATTTCACAGCAGCTGATCCACAGACCACTTGTTTTCTTTGGCCCACTTTCTGTATTTGCTTTACAGGTGTGACATCATGCATTCTGCATCTGTCTCCGTTCACAGTTGACACTCCACCTCCCCTCCATTTACAACATTCAATGAAACCAGGGAACTGACACACTCAGACTATCCATTGATTTATAATAAGGCAATGCATTTATTTTGACGCTGAACAGGATTAAAATGCAGGTGGCTTTATATGTGTGACACAGCTGCTGTCACATCATTGATCCTCCTTATTCTCGGCAATGGCAAACACCTGTTATCAATTTCCACTGAAGCACACACTGACCTGGTTTGCCTCCATAGGAAGGTCTGGATGGGGAACGGTATTCCTTTCCCGCACTCCGGCTCGTTGTCGTCCAGGCTTTTCCTCTTCACCATTTTGGCCGGACCTGCCTGCTCGCGACCACCGGGACGCGCGCGCGGCGGCGGCTGCGGCTGCTGCTGCTGGCTCTGCCCAGGTGACCAGCGATCTTCGCTCACGACATGATTGGGTTCGTCCTGCGTAAAATGGCTGCAAGTGTCGGTCGGTCGGTCGGCGGCAATAGAGAGAGAGAGAGAGAGAGAGAGAGAGAGAGAGGGATAGAGATAGAGAGAGAAGGAGAGAGAGAGAGAGAGGAGAGCGCTCGGATTTCAGCACCTCCCTTACCGGACAGCGACAGTTGATCGGCGTGCTAATTTATTTGGCGGCGGAGCTTAAAGACGCAGTGTGCGGCTGCGCCAGATGTTGTCCGTCTCAACCCTCTGCCTTGTGCATCATTAAAGGAAATGACAGCGTTTGACTGAAACACAAACGCCTGTAAAACACGCGTTGAACGGCACCCGGATGGTGCATTCACACGGGGCATAATCCTTCAATTGGATGTCAACAGGTTGTTTAACAACACAGGTGGACGAGGTGGTGGGCTGTGAAAGACACTCTACTGATTCTTATTTTCTTACAGACAACTGTGAAAGAATACGGGTCAAAACAAGCTTATTTACTGGCTTCCTAACCAACAGTTAGCTTCTACAACTCTCGTGCCTGTGCGCGAAATATGAAGCTAACTACCAGCTGCTAACTTAGTTTAGCACAAACCGGGCAAACAGTTAAGACTGGCTTTGTCCAAAAGTAATACAATTCGGCTTCCAGTTCCTCTGAACCTCTCTAACAAACACGTGGTATCTTGTTCACTTAATTACCAGCTGGTAACGTTAAATATGCTAAATTGTGGCCACCTGAAAGTCGTAAAGCGTGACCCTAGGCGGCGCTGTTGTACATAACTACTTTAATAAAAACATAAAGGACAACTATTACATCAGGTCCCCCACTTATCACTATGTTAATGCAGAAGTGCAAACATATTTATGATAATAAAAATAAAAGTCCAATAAAAGTGATGAATCTAATCATTTTTATTCAACATGCACACCCAATATATTTGCTTTTCTTTATACTGGATTTAAAAAATATGCACGCTGGAGATGAATTGGTCATTTTTTTTTTGGAGAATTCATACGAAAACAAGCGTGAATCCGTTTTCATTTTCTTTATTTCGGTTGTCATCCTGCAGGAGCATTTGTCATCAGTACGTCTCAAACATCGGAAAGAGTGCACACATCTACATGGTCTTTTAAATACACTTACACAAGGCAAAGAGGGGCTAGAGGGGGGGGGGGCAAGAATATAGGTTGCACAGAAAAACACTGGAGGGGTAACTGACACCAGGGGAGGAGAAAAAGGGGGGCAGAGGAGTTCCACAATGGTGAGCAGAGAATATGCTAGAACAGTTATTCTTTTTTTTTATATAATGAATTCTAACAGCTGCAAGTTGGGGGTTCGTCCCATTCTTCATTCCTCCTTCGCTTCGGCTTTCATTTCCTGTGAAGTTACCGGTTCGCTCGCACTAAAGGGCCAGGTAGCTGCTCTTTTAATGGAATGTTTTCTTATAAAGCTTCTTTTTTTTTCTACTTTTGAAACAAACTTCAAATACAGTGCACAACCCAGTGTCTGCAAAAGGGAGGAAGATCACAGGAGCATGAGGGACGGTTTAGGGATCTGAGGATCTGACCTTAAAGTAGAGACACGAGGATGCATCCTGGTTGTTTACACTCACACTGACAGGTTTACAATTGCTCCAAATAGATCTAATTTATTCATCATGTATTTGCCATGCCAGCGTAACAGCATTGTTACAGCCTAATACAAATCACAGAGCTAATGTAAAATCAAACAAAAAGAAGAGCAGCCCATTGGTTTGCGGGAAACTATTTAAGTGCTAATAAGCCAGTGTAGCTGCAGGGAGCATACAAAACTGGAACAACTTCCACTACAGTGACATATATAAAAAGAAAACATAACAATTGCTCCAACAATTCAGCACATAATCAGGAAATCATGAGATTAAAACCAACCGACGAACAAACAAAGAAACCGTGTCACATCTTAGCAGACATGCTCTTCAGCCATTCCTCTGCAGGTAGTTACAAGCCATGTCTCTCACACAGTTGTTTCTTTTAAGACTAGCGTCTAGTATCTAGTAGCTATTTCTTGCACTCAGTACCATATTAATTCTAAATGAACATTATGCAACAGTTCACCTTACCGTTTATCATCGTACGAGTGGAATGTGATGCTTTTCACGCTAAAAATCACTGTACAATCGTAAAACCTTCGATGCCTTCTTCGACAAACACGTCCACTCAAACCTTAGCATTCAGCCTATCTAGAACCAAATAAAGAAAAGTCCACATTTGAGCGAAGGAACATAAATGAAAAACAAATAAAGAGTGACAGGGCGTGTCCCATTTGAGGGCGGGAATGAGAAATGATCCTTGAGTTTGGAAAGTCCCCACTGGAAGGGCCGGAAGGGTCGTGGATGGACGAGACAGTCGATCGCCTAGAGCTGTAGAACCTGTGGGGTCAAGTGTGTGGGGGGGTCATGTTGCAGTGAAGGACCATGGGAGAACACTTTGGATGCTTATGAGTGAATGAGATTGATGGGGTAGAGGAGTGACGGTGTTGATTCTGGAGGGTATCCTCAGCAGGGGGCAGCAGCCCGCTCATAAGCCCTGCTTGGCCAGGGCAGCGGTGACATCCTGGGCCAGCGTGGAGAGCTGGGGCGTATCCAGGATGTTGATGCTGCCGGAGGAGGACATGCGCGGGGAAGTGCCGCCCGTCTCGACCCCGGGGGTGTGCGTGATGACGATTTCTGCGCCGTGATCCACCCGAGCTTTGGCTGATTCCCGGAAGGACAGCTTGTGGCTCTCGATCTGGCGGGTGCAGAAACAAAAAGGGTGTTTTCTCCTCTTTATTTCTACAGAAACAGAATACTGTATTTGTGTGCTTCGTTTTTTTTTTTTTTTACCATAATATTCCCCCCTCCAGGAGTGTGGCTGGAGTTGCCCAGAGAGCCGACTTTGGCAGCGGCCTTGTCTTTAAAGTCCAGCTTCACATTCTCAATGCGCACATGACCTCCCCCTGGGAACAGGGCAGAAAGGGAAGAACAGTATCAAACCCACAGGGCATCACTCGCTGGGCTTCTCCTGAGCAAAGAAAGAATCTAAGTGTGCACAACGCAGTGCACAGAAAGGACACTGTGCTCGTCAAAATGGTTGGTCTTTTGCTTTCAACACCCTTTCAGAAAACAAAGTGATATTATTGCATATTGTACATGTTTCCCGTACCTGGTCTGTGACGGATGTTGGACATGGAGCCACATTTGGCGGTGATGTGGCTCAAGTCGATCTTCTTGGTCTGGATTTGGATCTGTGGGGCAGCAGCACAAAGCACGTATTAACACATCTTTACCTGAAGAAGTGGAGAGAAGAAAGAAAAAAAGGGAGCTCCAGAAAGTCAAATGCAGTGAGGACAAAGCGGACGTATATTTTGTGGTGCAAAAAAAGAAACGATGAAGTCAATCAGGAGACACAGTGATGCCGATGTCGGTTCCCTGGAGAGAGGTTGACATGAAAGCGAGCAGACACAACACAGCCACTGGGTGACGCTACATGGAGCAGGTGCGTCAATTAAACTTTATTGTCCAATTAGTGCAAACAATGTCAAAAAGATGCAGAGACAACCCTGCACACTGTAAAGGGGTGTTTACATGACGTGTTGTGTGCGGAGAAAATGACACTCAGAGGCACACAACACAGTTGATATAAATGACGGCGACTATATTTCACGAAAACGTTCATTCCTAATTGCATATGTTGAATGTGTGTGTTTTTTTGCAGAGTTACTCACGTTTCCGCCACCTGCTGCGTGCTGGAGTTTGTCCAGGGAGCCACATTTAGCCTGAACGTGGCTAAAGTCCAGTTTAACACTTGGAATCATGACCTGGGAATGACAGGGTGACCTTTTCTTAATACAAACAGCAAACATTGAAGGCATGACTGGATGGGCGGAGCTTAAAAAATGCCCCCTCCCCTCCCTTTCCTGCTCAAAATAATCCTGTAAAAGTGTCCCAATTTTAAATCCACGACCTATCAATCTGCCAGCACTCACTTCAGCGCTGGGGAATTTGAATTTCAGCTGATCTAGAGCACAGAAAAAAACAACAACTGAAGCCTTTCTATGGACGGAGTTTTGTTTTTCTGCAGGGATAAAGACAACATGAAGCGGCACTTTCAAGCGCTGTAGTCCATGGAGTCTTGAACTCGCCCCTGCTTTGAATGGAGCTCTTACAGCCTGAAGCATATCTGAAACACTTTGAATCCCAAGTGCAAAAAATACCACTTGGGGAGTAGGGAACTTTACTTCTTGGTTGACGAAGAAGTAACATGGATGTATGGCACTTTGGATAAAAACCCTTCTTAGTCTTGACTGAAACAGACGAACAGATGGGTGGACAGACGCACACATAGAAGCAGCCCCAGCTGAAAAGAGGAAGAAAGAGAGGAGAGCAAAAGAAAAGAGAAAGGCGTACATACATTGCCTCCTTTGGGCGAGTGCTTCAGATTATCCTTGGAGCGGCATTTTGACTGAACATGACTGAAGTCCAGCGTCTCGTGTGAAATTTGAACCTAAAACAAAATCGAATTCAGAAAAGGAAAAAACACTACATGTGCCTCATTTGGCTCAGTGTGGGATCCATGTGTCTCTACATGCATTTACATTACACGTGCTGATAAACTGAGCTCACTTGTGGTTCAATACAACCAACGACAGTATTTCTGCTTTGTGCGCCATTCTGTGCTGTTTTGTAAAATGAAAATTAAATTTAAAAAAGGCCTACACTCTGTTCATAAAAGAGTAAGAAGGTGAACAGGGAGAGGGAGGAAATAAAGGAGAAAGAGGTTGAGGGGAGAACACACAAGAGACCCGACAGCAAGCCTCCGTCTCCGGTCGACACTGACTTGACCTGGATTCTTTTGACAGCTCTTCCTCTAACACACACACACACACACGCACACACGCACACACGCACACACACGACGCTCTAGTCAAACTAAGAATGTGTATATTTTAAAATCTATTATACTGGAGTTGAAACAAGTGGTCAATTTATCGATCAACTATTTTGATGATGGGTTATAATTAAGGATTTGCAACAGCTCATTCAATACTGAAAATACCATTCAAAATCATTTGTGGCAGCCCTACATTATGCAAACAGCTTTGTTTAATTATTAATATGTCTGTGTTAAGGTAGCGGACAAAAATCTCCCAAAATGACAATGTTGTAACAACAAAATCAAGCCAAAACACAGAGGCGACACTCTCACTTTTCATTCTTAACGGCTTCTTTTTGTGCAAACGCAATGTTTCAGGCTTTTGAATGTCAAAATAAAATGACGTGAAGCATTAGTGCTGCTCATCCCAGCCGTGCGTCACCCGGCCTCATTCAACATTTCTCCCTAAAGAGGAGAGAAGAAGTGGCCTCCTCCTCCATACTCCCCATGGGCTTAATGAAAAGTCTCACCTCTGCAGTACTCCGGGAACACTGAGACTTGAGTCTTGCTGCCTCGGTTATGTGATTAAAAACAAATCACGGCCTATTCGTCGACCACACATCTGTTACACCTCGTAGACGAAGATGACAGGAGCATTGTGTGTGCATGCACAGGGAACTTCAACTTGCACCTCTTTAGTTCAGTAGAGTGAGAAATCAAACCTCTTTCTCAGGTTCAAAGTGATGCGAGGTGGTATATTTTCATTCTATTCTTGATGCAACTTCCTCAATAAGTAATTCCTTCCGCTTGCAATTATTAATACAGAGAGCCGGAGGGGAAATCCTCCACAGCGTTGACGGAGGCTGCTCCCCAGGGCAAATGATTCTGCAGGTTGACTGCTCCTCGGAGGCAGTTAAGGGACATTCTTAAGAGAATAGCCGTTTTAGCGGCTGAAGCTGGTTTGACATCCTTCTTCGGCAAAGAGAAACGTTTGAGACTTAAGGAGGACGACAGACAGAGGCAGCTGATGACAGAGAGGACGGCAGACAGGGAGAGGACAGTCAGAGGAAGCGACGGCACGGGGTTTAGAGGCAGTGAGTGATGGTGAGGATGTGAGGAGAGATATTTTACGATACTTCGACAGCTCGGAGGGAGACAGAGAAGGAGAGGGATGTGACATGCATCAACTCATCAACCCATTTCTAATAATAAGTAAAAGTTTGATTAAATAATCCGTTTTGCTTTGTTTTCAATGTCCATGTCTCTTGCATCTGTCTTTTTATTATTCTTTTCTTTTAACAGCACAGTCATTTTAACAGTATGTATGAATAGAAGTCGAGGATATTCATACTGCACAGCTACATTAAACAAAGGTGCAAACCTTATTTTCAAAATAATATATATTACTCATACTATTAGAAGCTACACAAATGTAATCTTCCTTGATTTGCAGTATAGTATTTTTTATCTATTTAGATGTGTACAATATAACGTGGTTCTTTACTGCCCCCATGTGGCAGAAACAGGTAAATGCATGACATTTAAAAGTTTCAATGACTTCATTATTATTGATGTCAGGTAAATCTCTCTCCCTGCGCTGCAGACTATTTTGAATAAATCAATAGATGTGTCTGTTTCTGTGTGCTGTGAAGGATTCTGTTTAAAATCTTGCAGAGTGCAGATTTGACTCGGTTGGACCTCGACAGGGCCGGTTACCTGTCCGCCTTTCGGCTGGTGCTTGAGGTTGGAGGTGGACCCAATCTTGGACTTTACATTCTTCAGGTCAGGCAGGGGCTGATTGAGAACCTTCAGCTGCCGCTGGGCGGAGGACGGCGACTTGGGCGGGGTTCGGATCACCGCCACCTTCTTCTCCTGGAGGACGCTGAAGGACTTTGGCGTGTGGCTGCCGGGCGTGCGAGAGCCGGGGGTGCGGCAGGAGTAGGTGGGGGGGGTGCCGGGCGTGACGGCGGTGGAGCCGGGGGTGGAGGTCCCGCTGCGGACTGATCGGGAACGTGCAGACTCTGTACCTTGAGAGAAGAAGAGATATGTGTCTGGATTACAAGGACGAAGAGGAGGAGAGACGTGGAATGAAAGAAAACCCGTCCTGGGCAGAAACACTTTGGACGAAGAGAAAAAGGGAGGAAGACAATGGAGCAACAGGTGGATTGGAGTGTATGACCCTTCATGTGGTTGTCATGGAACTGTCAGCACTGCTCTGCTGTCCGTTTCACCAAAACAAACAAGCCAGGTCAAACACAACTGTTTGACATGGACGTTGTGAAAGCAACTGAATTAATTAAACGCCGGTGGCTTGTTGCCATAAAAAACAGGAAGTAGCAACCTGTTGTTATGGATCCCACCTGCTCCACTGTTAAAGTTACGGCAGGTTTTACGAAGCCAAATTGAACACATTTAAATATTATATCAAGGCAAATTTGGCAACAAAACTGCATAAACAAGCTTGCAAATTCACGAGATGAATGAATGAATGCCTAGTCAATGGACGCCGCTCGCTTCTATACATAATATAAAGAACAAAAACCACATTACACTAATAACCAGGTGTCACATGTCGATGAGCAGGGTGTGATGGGTCTAACAGGAGCTACTAGGTGGTCTACCTGCCGTACCAGGGGCTCTTCCAGACCTGTTGTCCGCTCTGGACTGGATCGCTTTTGAGAGGGGAGCGGCAAAAAGGACAAGGAGGCAAAAGGGGAAGAGTGAACAAGGATGTGAAGGGAAACAATGTGGTTGGAGTTTAATAAAATCATTCGAAAGAAAGTGATATGAGGAGAGTCACAGTATAAGTGTTAGAGATTAAAGAGGCAATCTGCTGTGTAAGGGGAGTTCATTTTATGAGGCAAACAAGCTGGAAGAGTCTGTTTTGTAGTGTGTGTGTGTGTGTGTGTGTGTGTGTGTGTATTCTTACAGGTTGGCCTGGAGGGGGTGTTGTCTTCTTGTTCAGCAGCAGGGATGTGGCGTGTCAAAGATTTGGCTGGCCTGGGCAGAGACGACCTCTTCTCTGGGCTGCGGTATGCTCTCTCCTGAACAAACACACACTGTGGAGTCAACACCCGAGCTCACTCACCGGTTAAAGCTCCCTGTCAAGTCCTGTTTTCTTTTCATTTTACCTTCTCTGCCCATTTGTGTGGCAGAGGGGACTGGTGGGAGCATGCAGAGGAGGGACGGGCGTCATTGAGCTCCGCCTGCACCAGGGGGCTCCGTTTAAGGCTACAGGCGGAGTCGGGCCGGGGGGGCGGGTAATCGGTCCCCCGGCGCTGAGCTGCCATCTTTAACAGAACGGCCCTTGTGGGGCTCTGGACCGAAAGCCGCGGCGAGAGGAAGGAAAGCATGCAGGGATGTGAGGCGGAGGCGACAAGCAGATGGAGAGACGAAGACGTGAGATGGGATGGAGTGGACCAAACACCGACAGCTTACAGTACAAAACAATCTGCACAGCACTCAAGAAAACAACATCGTTTTGACACCATGATACTGAATGATCAACATGCAGAAGTGATGCTTTTTTTTAAGAGAATGGATGGAGATGTTTATTCAAAAGACGTGAAAAATAATGAAACTTTTAGGTGAAAGATGGAGTTCAAGGTATATCTAAAGGGGCCCCTGTACTGCACATTATACGCGTTGGTAAAATAGTAAAACCTGCCCATGACTGTCTGCCTCCTCTTTATTTGATATCTATACTCACAGATTTTCTCAGTCGAGACTGGCACAAGGACAGAGGCAGGCATGCAAGACAAAACGAACGTGCACATAGAGAGAAATAACATGCAGACATTCAAAAAAAGGAAGAAAACATCCAGTTTGTCACGCAAACAACAAGCCCCATTACACAGAGTTATACGCTCTGAAATGCACTGAGAGAGAGACGCGACAATATGCAACAATATTGAGCTGATGTGTGTGAGAGATAATGACCCACAGGGAATAACCTCATCCCATTAAATGTGTGTGTACTGCAGGGTCTAGTATTTCCTCCTATATGCTTGAAGATGATGTATTCACTGCTGCATTAACATAACTAAAATGCTAAATACTAATAACCATTCATAATTAATAAGCATGCATTTAAAATAAAGCGAGTGCGCTCGTGTGTCATGATAGTGCTGATAGTACTTACAGTGGTCCTCTCCCTGGACTGGTGGGCCACACTGAGGGGCTGATGGCTTTCCATACCTGAAAAAAAAAAAAGAGTTCATCTGTAATGATCGATGTAATCCAACAAAGGGAGACACATTTGAGAATGTGACTTTTCGCACACAACACACATAGATGCACTCTGAATACAGTACAAAAACGTAAATGTCGGAAATCATTTTAGTCACAAAGACCTTTTCACAGCAGCTGAAACCAAACACACAACCTCCGACATGCAGCCATTTCCCAGCAAACACGTACACAAGTGTCATTTAATGATCAGAGAAATGAATGAAACCAGAGTTGCAATCGCAAATTACACAGGCATCAGTGAGCAGAAAGAAACATGAATATGAGGCCAAGCAGGGGTAGATACTCCTTTTTTGACAAAATGAGAACAAAGAAAAAAGACGAAGCAGTTGAGCTGATTTTAAAAAAGGCCGCAGCACATGATGTTTGCCAGCTACATTGCACCCGTGTGATTCGTCAAACAGCCATTGATAGAGAGAGAGTAAAGTCAATAAAACACCTGTTATTGTATGTTTGTAGCAACAATTAAAACCCTAAATTGTTCAACCTTTGACTCAATTGAATCTGGTAAAATAGAGAAATCATCATTTGTCAGGTCTAAAGAAACTTAGTGATACTTGTTTCTGTTATTTTTACGCACATGTTCCTATTAAGCCAGTATAAAACAACAATAGACGGAAAGGTGTAGGGTCTACATTAGAATTAGTTTACACTCTCTCTATCCACAGCACTGATTCCCGGTGAAGACTGTTCACCTGTGGCCTTGCGTCTAGCAGAGCCGTGAAGCAGAGCGGGCCTAGGATGTCTGGCTGCCACTTTGGCTACACTCTTTCGAGATGGAGAACGACTTTGGAGGGCTGACACCTTTATCTGGTCAGCCCTCCTCACGGCTACTAGCAAAGAGGAGAGACAGGATTATACCAACATGCAAACCTCGGTGAAATGCACTGCAAAGAGGCTAAATCTGTGCTTAACATCAATATAATACAAAATACAAAAGTACATAATTTGCTTTAAGCTGAACAACACTTCTTGAATACGGAATTGGAACCTTTTTTCTTCTTCATCTCCTCTCTTGGATGGTGGCTGGGTACTTTGCGGGACACTTTACTCTCAGTGGTGCCAGGGTGGCCCCTTCCTCTGCCAGGGGCCCGTTTAGCGGGTCTGTCCACCACAGGTGTAGTGGTAGGACTCTGGACCTGAGGAAGGGCTTCGATTTGCTCAGTCATGATACTTTTGTCATCATCTGCAGTGGAGAGGGATTAAAAGAGGACTAATTCTCCACACTCCTAGCTAGCTGGGAGCTAGCTTAGTACAGAAGACACATTAAGATTTACTCGCAAACAAGCTTTGTGGTGTAAGCTAGTTTTCGGTATTAAAAAATACAATAAGTGTCTTAAACATTTATTTTACGTGTGATTAATTTTGCAAGCTCAGGGTACCTTGTGAGTCCATCCAGCCACTGTCTGTATCTAGGAGGGAGACGTCCATGGTGGTTTCATCGTTAGGTACCTGACTGGCCTGGCAGGGCACAGCGGAAGTCTCTTCCACCTCCTGACCAATCTCGATGTCTTTCTCCTCTTCACACATCCTCTCCTTCCCCTCATCCTCTGTTGTTTTCATGTCTTTCTCTTCGCCTACTCCATCAGAACCAACTTCCTCCACTTGCTCCTCCACTGTTTGGTCTGTCTTTACCACCTCGCCCTCCTCTTTCGTCCCTTCTTTATCCTCCCCTATCCAATCATCTCTGCCACCTTCATCCGGTTGCAGTGGTAGATCACGATCAGAGCATGGAGACAAGTGCGAACTGTCAGTCGCAGGGTCCCCACCATCACTGTTTTGCACACTGTGACTCCAGTCTTCTGCGCTAGACTTGGGATCGTCTTCCGCCATCTGATCGCCTACCGTCAGCCTCACCTTGATTGGACTCTTAGGCACTTCATCTTCCTCCATTACCTCTTGAGGCTCTTCAGCAATCTCAATATCATCCTCTTCATCTGCTTCTTCCTCTACTTGTGCTTGAGGTATGATGATGACTGGGGAGGTTATATGTGGTTTTGGTGCGCCTTTAGCCACCTCCTGTAACTGGATTTGGTCATCTTTCTCATCTAATGGTTTTTCAGTGCTTAAATCCTGAACAGCTTTTGAGGTCTCTTGCCTTTCTTTTCTTTCTAATCTTGTAGGTGTCCCACGCTCACTTTGAATCTTCTCGTCATATTTTTCTGTGCTCTCTCCTGAAGACTGAGATGATGCTGAAGGTATGTTTGCCATTTCTGGTTCATCCCCTCTTTCTTCTGAATCCTCCTGCTCAGATTTACGCATTTCTTTGTCTAACTCTGTCTGTTTCGTATCAATCCGCTCAGACTCTTGATCATTCTCTGCTTTAACCTCTGGTCGGACATCTTTCGCTGCCTTCTCTCCAGTAATTTGGGTTTCTAAGGGTGTATCATTTGGGGAGTTGGGGGTGGTGGGAGTTGGGGGAACCTTGCTTCCAGTTTCCAATGGAGTGAAAGTAAAGGAGCTGTCTGGTGGGATGGGAGAAGCCTCTCTGGAGGGGTCTTTTTCAATGTCTACCTCAGGAATTGCTTGGATCTTTATGTCACCAGGCAGGCCACTCTCCAAACGAAACTCAGTCAATCTGTCTTTTGAGGAAGTCAATGGGATTCTTAGACGATCGGGTTTTATTCCACTTGTCACAGCCCTCTCAAGAATCATGGTACTTTCGACTGGTGAATCTTTCTTTTCGGACACAGTTTTTTGAGAAATCTCAGGGATAATTCCTTCATGATCTTTTTGTTGAATTCCTTCAACTTCCGTGTCACCAAGCTCCTCCTCAACTTCACTTTCCATTGAAGGGAAACACTGGTGCGGAGAGCCTCCAGGACTAGGTACATCGGCAGGAGAAGGCATGGGCCCCGAGTACTCATTGAAGACACAGTAGCCCAGTTCCTCCAGTTGGTTTTCCCCTCCTACCACTCTTGAGGTTTGATCTACCAAGGCCAGCTTGGCCAAAGAACTCCCCACCAGAGCTGATACATTGGCGGGCACGGACTTTCGCCTCATGTGGTCAAGCTCCCTCCTCTCTAATGATGGCCGAGGCAGATCTCCAGCCAGGTCCAACATTTCAGAGAGACTGCCTGAATGTTCAAGCCATTTGTGCTTATCAGAAAGGAAAGGCTTGTCTGCCTTTGCCTCTGGAGGTGAGTCAGGGGTAGTTGGGGTAATGGAGACAGCTGGAGGAAATTGGAGTTGGCTCTCCACAGATGGAGTTAAAGGGTAAACCTCAGATTCATCAAAGCTTCCACTGATTGGACACAAGGTCATTGACTTCTCTCCCTTCCCTATTTGTCCTGTCGAAGATCCAACAGTAATGTTTAGGGAGAGGCTTCTTTGTTCGAGTGACATCTTACCAGGAGATATTTTGGCTGACCTCTCCTGTTGTTCCCCGAGCTTCTGCACAATGCTTTCAGTGTCCTCACTTAACTTTTTCTCTGCTGCTGTGCTGAGTTCGTAATAGCTCTGGGTTTGTGATGACTCCTTTTCGTGGCTTTTTGAGGATGTCTCAAAGTAGTTTTTTGCTCCAAACTCGTGTAAAATATCTGACGTCTCTTTCAACTCTGTGACAGGTTCTGAACTTGACTCGACTGCTTCTTGCCTTTGGTCCTCTTTTTGAATGTCAGTCACTGGTATCTCATGCAACTCAATGTCAGTGCCACTATCTTGGCCCTCCTTATTTATCCCCTCAACCGGCTCTGGATTTTCCTTGCTTTCATTCATAGGGGCTCCTGATTTGCTTGGTAAGATATCTCCCTCTTTGTCGTCCTCCTTAAGATTTGATAACTCCTCTGTTAGTCGAGATTGTTTTGCTTCTTTTTCTTTGGACTCTACAAGCAGGTGGCTCTCAGCAGCCTCTTCTACTACATCCTTTCTCTCTTGGTCACTCTGCTCAATTGAGGCGTCACAGAGCTCAATCGAGGCGAGCTCTGCACCTTCAGGTGTTGCTCTTTCAACAGCCAACCGTGTCTCTTGTAGCGACGCCGCTTGAGTTTCATCTTCCTTCATAGCAGACTCACAAGATTCCTGACTCACGCATTCTTCTGGCTGGGCTGTGAGTTTGAAGGATACTGTACAACTTTGTACAAAGTCCTATAAGCTAAAAGCTTTGCTTGAAGCATCCACAAAAGCTAGCCAATACAGTCAAGCCGAGGCCTTCTGCACACAGATAGAGTAGCTCTCCATCAAGCAAAACACACAGCACAGTGTATTTTGCAGCAGGCCATAACAGCACAGAGGGGGTCACAGCACCTAAGATAGCGTGCAGAACTGGAATGAAGGAATGAGTTGCATGATGTTAGATGGCAAGAAATAAATCTACACAAATATATTGAATTCCTATTGCAATACACAAGGATTAACAAAACATGGTCAACCTGATATTAACATTTTTTTTTGTTGATGTAATTGAGTGTTAATGGTGTCATTATGGTTTCTATAGCAAGTACAGGAACACTGTGGAGGATTAATCTTTACACTGCTTGGAAGTACATTTATTCAGGGTATGTTCTTAATTCAATTAGCCTGAGGAGATAATAAGGATGGTGATACATGTCCAATGAGGGTGTTATGTAATAAATGTAAGTGTGTCCTTAGTAACAATAGGAAAACAGAATTATCCTTTGCCTTGGGGTGAAATGAAAACAACATTGAAACTCAAAGAAAGTGAAATAGAACAGACTTCAAATACATTCAAGACTGATTCATTAAGCTCCCATACAGGTGGGTGTACTCAGAAACACCTTCTTGCACACAATATTCCAGCAAAACCCACATACAAATATACAGACAACTAATACTAGTGAGACTTGACAGTGTAGACAGTGACATTTGCAATGTAGCTGGCAATACAAAAGTGCAGAACCGATCAACTACAATATGGTTGATCAGGTGTTCTAATGTCACTCCAATGAAAAGCAAATGGTTATGTTTCGCATGACAAAGCACAAAATCAAAATGCTATGTCACGTCATTTTGCACGAGGCAACTTCAGGTACTGAAGCAGAAGCTTAAGGATTTAAGAGCAACAAAGCTGCAGGAAGGTTGGCGGCAAAGCCTGAGTCGCATCACAAGTTATAGATCAAGAGTGGAAAATATTGAGCACCCATTAATTCAAAGAGGATCATGCAAAAAAAAAGGTAATAGGTAAGAGACATTCACTCCAACACGCTTTCAAAAGAGGAAGGATGTACAGTTGCTCACACAAACAGTACGCTCACACAAACTGTAGGCACGCGAACAAAACCCAATAGAAACCACACACACCTTTTTGTGACGGGCTGTGTTCACCTTGATGACTTCCTCCATTGAGGACCTCAGGTGTCTGGGCTTGCTGGCAGCCCAAAGCCTGGGGCTCTGTTAAATAATCTGTCTGCTCTAAGAGCAAGTCTGCCACTTCCTCCTGGTAACTGTGCAGCTCCTCTGGAGCCTCTTCCTCCTCCTCCTCCTCCTGCTGTTGACTGACAACTTCTACTTTATCTTCTTTGAGCAGGGGGAGGGGGGACACATAGATGAGACATGGAGGACAACAAAGCTTGGGGTTACATGGGTTACTTTCAGCTCTGATGGAGATGCATGGGATGCAATTAACACACCTTCTATCTTAGTCTTGATCTATTCATATTTAACATGAATTTTGAAAGTTTGCACATTGGGTTTAGAAATAATAGTCTGAGCGTCGTACTACAGTCGTATATAACATATTTTAACCCTGACTTTGATGCATTTAGTCGTTTGTTTTTTCAAGAATATATCCCATTTTAATGAAAACATATTTAAAAGTATGAGAAAAATATTCTTAGGGCGCTTTCACAAGCCAGAGTCTGTTTGGCTTCTCCGAATCAGAGCGATATTGATACTTGGCTCGTGAAAGCGCCCTTACGATTAGTTCTATCTATTAACGAATAACTGGCATTAGTCATAAACATGTACTATAGTGGGAGTGCGCTTTTGCGATTGCATGCCGCATGCAAGAAGGAAGTGATCAGAAAGCAGATGGTGCTGTTCTCTGTGAGCAAAGAGCTGAAAGCCAATCTGTGATTTTCTCCTTCAGAAAATCAACAGACACGATGAGCAACAGAGGAGATGTTTTGAGGAGAAAGCAGACTAGTGAGATGAAGGGCTCCGGTGGCAGGTTATGCACTACAGCGTAAAGGGAGGAAGGGTGCTTGGGTTGTCTAGTCCTGGCAGCCAGGGCCAATAAAACTAATATCGAACTGATATTGGTAAAATGGACCAAAGTATGAAGAGGACAGGACAGTGTGGCACATGCTGCAGACTTCTTAAAAGGTGATTTAACGATCAGCTGACATGCAAGGCGACAGAGGACCCTGATATTAAAGGGACCAGAAGAAAGAGGAGTTTTTCTAATCATGCCAGTGGCTGCAATGAGAACTTGAAATCCTGGAGATGTTTGCTGTCTTCTTTTAGAGATATATTTATATATATATATTTTACCACTCTCACAACCATTCACACTCTCACCCTGAATGGTCTGAGTGGTTACAAGTGTGAGTGGGTGTACCTTGTGCCACAGGCCCAATCTGCTCAGCGGATGGAGAGGGGGGAGGGGAGGGAGGCAAATTGGCTGAGTCATCCACTGTGAAGTGAGAGAGAGAGAGAGAGAGAGAGAGAGAGAGAGAGAGACAGACAACAACGGGAAGACAAGACATGGATGGGAGGAAGGAAATGAAAAACGAATAACTCTGCTGACCTTATCTCTGTGGGTGGCCTACCTTTGAGTTTGGAACAATGCTCGTTGTGTGTGTTTGTTTGATGAATCTCATGCTCCTCCAGGATTTCATTAGTGGCCAGTCGGGCCTTTTACTCAATGTCACGTGCAGATGGATGCATCTTGAGCACCAACTTACCTCAGATGTTGTATATTGTCATACAAACAACAACATACACTGTGTCAGATTATACTGGCTCAATAATCTGAATCAACCACAAAATATCAAAAGACATTGACCAACATATTTACATTGAATTTGAATTTTTTTTAATGAAAATTAAGGGTTCCCCCAGATGTACACATGCACATTGATATAGCACAGGACTGATCACTTTGCACACATATCAGTCAAAAATATTAGCGTTTTGCCATAAATCTGGCATCCCGCTGCCTTTGTTTCCAAGTTATAATATGATAAATATGATATTTTGTTAGCGAGATTTAGTAACCTTTAGCCAACCACATTATCATGTGTTTGAGCTTACAGAGAATTATGCGATGCATTTTTTCCAAAGTGCAAAGAGTAAAAACCTTAAAACAAGCATGTTTCTGACGTCTTCAACGTGCAACACTATAATATAAAACAGCTTTATTGCAAGATACCTCCCCTGTCCTTCACGTTTTAATCAAAGCTTGGAGTATTTCCAACTAGAAGTCATGGAGCTTTCTGGTTAACTTCCAGAAAAGGTCCAGATGTCCTCTACCAGGTGTCTTGGGGGACTACAGCATTGTCCTTCAACCTTTGCTGTCGCTGCCACAGCAGCTTGGTTGTGTTCAGTACTCATTTAAATGTGAAACACGTGCCTTTTTGTGGATTGACTGCTCTTGCCTGGCACCATGGAACCAATCCCATTTACCCAGACCCATCGGGCATTATGTGTATGCGGTCTAATCAATGTTATTGACCTGGTGCTGTAGTCACATGCTTGCACACACACACACACACACTCACAAACACACCGTGTCTGCGTTCCTACCTGTCGCTCCGGGATGTGCAGCTGCCCCACCGTGGAATCCATTCTCCCTGTAGGCAGAGCTGTAGGCGGAGTAGCCATTCTCGGCGTTCTCCTGGCCGTTAGAGGCCCAGTGCTCATCTGTCTGCCGACCGTCTGCCATGCCTGCCTGCTGGGACACCGGGGAGGGGACAGGTCACCTGTTGGAGCAAGTGACGGGGGAGAGAGAGAGAGAGAGAGAGAGATGATAGCATTAGAGAGGAGTCAAAAATAAATATCTCATCTCAGCTGACTGTGGTCCAGGATTCACGCTGCACGGTGAAGATTACAGATCCGCCACCAGAGGGAGTGAGGTGCTACACTGTTCACATACCGGCTGGTCTTTGTCTCAGCCTTCAAATTTGGCCTTTGCCTTCAAATTTGATGCATGCTAAAACGGACACACTCGCCACTTAAGAGGTGAGCTCCATAAAAAACAACATCTTAAATGAACCGCGTATTAGTCCAGAATATACGATGCAAGAAAGACACAGATGTTAAGGTGCACTGCAGCAGGAAGCTCATGAAATGGTCGGAGGGAGGGGAGGAGGGGCATGTGAACACACCCTTTATATCCCCTCATCCTCGATGAGGAGGCTGTTACCATGGCAACCAGAACAGGTCTTATGGGGGTCCGGCAGATTGGTTTGACAGGCTTGCCCCCTTTCAGAGACAGCACTGCTGCAGCGCAACAAGCTCCTTCCCACCATCTACAAGAACAAAAGACTTCGCCCCAGTCAAGTATGCACTGCTGAAGTATCCACACTCTAATCTAGCATGTACCCTAATAAAAGCCTTTTTCTACCCTTAAGACAAAACACATAATGCTGCTTTATAAACGAGATTAGCAGGGGGCCCTCCCTTGCCTGCATGGCAGCTTCGCTAAATTGCATCATTATCATCAGCTGCTGCTAATTTCATCATAACAAGTTATCACTGAGACCGAGGACAGTAGCTGCTGAAATTCTCTGAAAATTGAGAGGAATTGAAGATCTAACTGAGGTTTTCCACCCTGCTGAGACAAACAAATCAAGCATCAGGCCTGAAATATACTGTATGTAAAAATTGTGCCTCCCGCTCTCATTTGTCTCCATCCCTCTTCCCTCCTCACTCCTCCCTCCTTCTCCTTTCTCTGCAGTGCTGCATGACGACAGGCTCACAGTGACCGGGGCTGATGTCTGCTGGAGACGTGAGGATCAGAACCGAGAAGAGGAGAGGAGAGGAGAGGAGAGGAGAGGAGAAGAAAGGCCGACTGACACTTCAAGGTATCCGGCCAAACTGTCTGACACAGAAAATCTCAGCCCAGGGTTCAGTCAGAGGCGAGTCTAGTCCCAGCTGTTGCTAAGGAAGAAAACTGAGGTTTAGAACTGCATTGAGCTGCTTTCAGCTGCTGTTTTGGCAATGTTACGCATTGTCCATACGAAAGGATGGCATAAACCGTGGCTGCTTACATAAATCCTGTGTTTCGTCTTTTGATAAAAAGGCACTTAATTGCAGAGAAAAACACAAAACACCCTTTCTCACAAATTCAAATGCATTACACTCCAGATCTACTGCAAATACCTCTTTTATTATGTGTCGGCTTGTTGTCTTTGCTGATGTTTTTGTATTTGAATGCCTCCCCTATCAACAGACTGTAGAATACCAAGAACCACTGGCCTTTTAACACAAAGCGGCTGCAGGAAAACTGGTGGGATGGGTGGTGAGTTATATTAGTTATACCCATGTGACACCCGTCCTGTTACATCACAATGCAGAGGAACGTTTAGAGTTTATCCTCTACCGTCAATTTAAACACCAGTAACATTAGATATACTGAACGCATGTCAAACTATTGACAAACTATCTCCTGATATCTGGGTTTGCCCACCCTTTAGGACCGTGCTCTCCAGGCACACCTTGTCATCCTGCGGTTAACGTGGTCCGACATCGCCCTCTCCCATCGCTCCCTTTGAGCTGTTTTCCAGTCGTATTGGGTTCGACAGAAAAGGATAAAGTGTGTAACTGGCATCTTTCCAAATATAACTCCACCAAAGAAGCAGACGGTCTTTATAAAACATACACTGCACTGATGGAAAATTGTGCTTTTCCCCCTCTCTCATCTCATCTGAAGACACAATACAATTTACTATTAGGGTCAGTCTGCAATCTGCTTCGTGGCTAGCTGACAAAGTACATACAAATACTGCTTTTATGTGCAGGAAAACCTAATTAAAACACTGATGTGGCAATCGCCTGCAGACAAGAACTGATCTCTGGTGCCATTTAGAGTGACACCAGGAAAAAACAACCTCCTCTTGTGCCCTAAAATAACCCACAACACCTACGGTAAAGCTGTGACACTTTGATAGAAATGAGGTTATCACATTATCTTTTCTAGAGATTCCAAAAACCACCAAATCAGGAAGGATGAAGCTCAGCACAACTGCACAGCATGTGAACCACCAAAGGGTTAAATCAACAGCACTGGGAGTCAAAGAAGGACTGTCAAGTCCCGTTACGTCTCGGGATTGAAGTCTTGCACTGAGCATGCCAGCAGGAGACAAGAGAGAAGGTGTGGCAGTGGGCCTGAGGCTCGCCTGACTTCGCTCCCTCTTTCTTTTGTCTCGCGGTCCCCCTGCCGCACTTCGCTCTACCTTCCAGCCCCGTCGTCCCTCTCCTATGCCGACTCCACCCTATCCCCGGTCCCTAATCCGACCTCACTTCCCTCCCATTCTGCACCTCCCCCCCTCCACCAACTGGACCCCAATCTGGGTCACTCATCACGCCTCCGTGGAGCGGCACTCACATCGGAATGTCACCATCCATTTAGGAGGGAGGATGGAATCTCTGGCAGCCTGTCTCAGTGTGTGTGTGTGTCCCTGGTCTCTGATTTTACGTATGATTTTCTACATCCTTATCATTGATGGGACAGTTTATAGTGTAATTTTAGCTCTGAATATTATTTATGCACACAATTGTGGAGGCTATACTGCCGAAAATGTCCTTAGAAATGCTGTGTTTTGTCATTTTGAATTCATATTTGTTATAATAGTCCTTATTTAATCCTTAATTCCTCTTTCTCTCCTGTATGCTATCATTTCTATCGTAATAATTTACGATATTTCAAGGGGATATAGCAGTTTTAGAGACAACAAGAAAGGTCAAAGTTGGCATGAAAGTGATATTTCCTGTCATTCAAATACATACGCTGCACTATTAAAGGGCATTCAAAGCTTCATCAAAGTGCAGTATTATTAGAATATAGGCTCAAAAGCCATATAAACACAGACACTGTGTGGTGCGTTGCAGTGGATGATGGGTAACACTCAACAGTAGCCCCTACGAGGAAAGTAGGACACTCGAGGTTGCCGTGAACCCAGAATCCAGAGACTTCCTCCTGAGCAGCAGCAGACGGGCGGATTATGTTTCGTTGACTCAGCAAGACATGCCGGGGGATTGACGCGTAATAAACGCTGCCATTGAAGTGTGAATGGACTGTGTTTACGGCGAACAGCAGCATGGCGAGAGGCGGCATGCGAAAACACACGCCCGTGTTAATCCGAGGTGTGGGGCTGACTCCACTCCTTGCAGATTAAGTACCGTAATAACGGCAATATAGGCGCACTGGGAACTAACAAGGCCTCAGAAAGATCTCATCGTGCCAAAACATCTGAAATAAGCAACGCTTACACTGTGACAATAACAAGTTACATCCTGTCATTTCATCATGAGGATGGAGAAAGTGGGATTTACATCCACACAGTGTGAATCAAAGGGCTTTTCTGATGGATGAGTATGTCGGAGGTCTGCTGCAAGCGTCCAGATGAATCAAAGTGACCGCTCACATTTATTCCCTCCTCTCACTGCCTGCATGCTTGCTTTCCCTTCTCTTTAGTTTCAGCCTCCGCTCTCATCAGAGGAGTCGATGCTGCCTGGCACACGCCGGCCCCACCCCGAGCTGATGTCATTGTTCCCATGGTGATGTGAGCCCCGGCGTGGGAGGGGCTGGCGGTGGTCAGGAGAGGGCGCCGGCTGCAGAGAGAGCGGACGTGGACCACGTTATGGATAACTGAAATAGGTCACCAGATCCTCCAGGCGAAGCCCCCGGGGGTCCTCCATAACGGCACTGACACAAATGGCTGGCGAGCCTTTTAAATGCATCGATACGCTGATAGCTGGTTGCTGGTTGGGCTGTTGATGCCATTTTTAGACTTTTAGGCTGGTGCTGATGTGGGTGCTGTCTTATCACAGTTACACAACAGCAAATTGTTGTATAAACAAAAGACTGAAACAACTAAATCCATATAACAGGATGTCTTGGTACAGCCCAAATGGAGCTCTTCCTTATTTACACATTTTTACTGTAATTGTATTTGGGTTAAAGCAGAGATTCACAGGCTAATCCTACATAATAATTCCTGCTAATTGTCCCAAACCAAAAACATAAAGAACCCACTGTGACATTTACATACAGCGCTGAGCTTTCCCAACAAAACGTCCCATCCGTCTCGTCTGTTTAGTGGTCAGTCGCTGCCTCCTTTCCAGGCTGAGGAAATTATGATGGCTGCCGACAGCCCACGCCTTGCACGTCCACGCTCGCACACACACACACACACACACACACCTACACACACTCACTCCCCTAACCAAACCGCAACGCATGCACAAACACTCAAAAAAACCCACGCGCAACCGCTCTCATTGACGCCCCCGAATGCATCCACGGAGCTTAAACAACCCACAACTCTCTGGCTGGGAGCAAACACATTGTTAACATGAGCTAAGTATAGACACACACACACACACACACACACACACACACACACACACACACACACACACACACACACACACATAAGACCTCTCTGAATTTACCACCAAATCCACATTTAGCCACTCGCTCTGTCATTTCCCTCCCCGCCATTTAAACTCACATTTATGCAGCTCACAAAAAACTTAAAACACGAGTTTCGAGTTATAACGGCTGCTTTTATTTTAGCGGGGAACACTATCTTGCATGACATCAACCCAAACAATTGCCCCGTCCTCCCTTCCAACATGTTTGCTGAACATAATTCCCTCTCTATTACACATCCATGGACAGCCAAGCTAATCATCTGGCTGAGTGCAGCCACTTAGATCTGACTCCGGGGGCCCCATGAGTCATGGGAAAAGTCAGTGTGAAATGTCACGGGTGGGGGTGGGGGTGGATATGAGTAGAAGTAGTACATAGTATACCAATCTGGCAGCAGTCCAGACTTCTGCGTTTTGCCTTTTCTTTTTAGTTATTTCAGTGTGAGATGATTTTAAACTCGTTAGCTCACCTAACTTGAGCGGCCTTCACTGATGGATGAAACACACGAGTGCTGAGTTGAAGCGTTTGCTCAGACCTGCATGAAAAAAAGAGGGAGGTAGAGAAGAGGGAAGACACGTTAGAGCTTCAATAAACCGCAGCACCAAAGTTTAACACTTCCCTGCATCACTTGGTCTGATAAAAGGTATTTAATTTATTTAAAATAAAAAGAAACAGAGGTCAGTAGTTTCCAAGGCAGCTGCAAGGATGATGATAATCATCCAAACAGAAATTGATTATTTTGAAGTGAGTGATTACAAGTGGACGTGTCATCTGTGTGCCAACAGACTCCACCGAGATTTGTCAAATTCTTGGATCCGCTGGGGCCGAGCCAGGGGATGAGTCAAAAGGCTTAAGCGTCGCCGTGGAGGAACACAGATCTGCACAGTTACTCTGCTTTTGGGTTGTCAGGAGGTAGAAAACAGAGCATCCTGTTAACATTAAAGCAGTGTGAAAGGGCCTGGGGAAAAAAAAGGGGGGGGGGGGGGGGGGGTTGTGGCAGTTGGACAGAGAAATGAAGAGACAGGGGATGAAGCAGAGAGAGCTGAGCAGAGATCCTCCAAACAGGAAGGAGGATGATTTATTAGAGAGGAGAGAAAAAGAGGCCTGGAGTGAAGAAGAAGGAAACAGAATTCACAGAGGAGGAAACAGTATTCCTCCGAAAGGATTCCACAGAGTACACTTTACTTTGTTATATGCAGGAGATCGTTACTGTTGAGCTTTTAATGTTATGCAGACAGAGAGAAAGAGACCAAAAAGTTCATAAATCACTCTCTAACAGAGAGGCAGCGAGTAGGAGGGAAAGAGAGACAGAGAGAAAAGGGGGTTGAGAGGGAGGAAAAAACGTGAGAGAAAAAAAGAGACAGTCACACAGGAGGTATAATGTCTCTTCTGGGGGAAGGCTGGCCGGCCGGCGAAGCTTAGCCTGAAGAAGAACACGATGAGGAGAGAGGAAGATACAGAGAGATGTGTGGTTACCGCCCGGCCAGACAATATCAGGAGCGAGACGGAAATAGAAGCCGCCTTTTTAACCTTCGCAGTAAATGATCCCTCTCTCACGCAGCAGTTGGCCTGCTTGTTATGAAAACTTAATCTCCCTCAACACTATCCGTCTGTTTTCTGAGAGTGCATAAATGCTTTTATTAGAGGATAAATAGTGCTTCTTCTTCATCTTTTTTGTTTTTACTGCACTAGTAACGAGCACCCTCTGATATCTATACTCATTAATCACAGCTTCTCCAGGAAGAAAGGCTGATAATTCTACTTTTTCACAATCTTATCAGTCGCCCCGCGATGACCATCAACCTCCACCGGCGCGTGCTGTGGGTCGCTATTTGACGGATGGGCACAAACAGTGAGGGTGCGACTCCAAGGTTGGACAAACAAGCAATTTGTCTTCAGTCTCTGGAACTAAAGGACAAGACGACGTCTTGACCGGCAGGTTCCTCCCGGGAGGAGGGAGGGAGGCCAAGTGTGTCAAACAGAAGGCAAAGAGAGAAGAGACGGAGGAAGGGAGGAGTCAAGGATAGAAATCCACAGATTCGACTTCATCATCAGAGACGAGGCAAACAGGAAATGAATCCTAATCTTGGAGCTGTGCTAAAAGGCCTGATAAACCTCGCTGAACTTTGCTGATAACGGCGAACATCACAGGAAGACATTTCCACAATTATCTGGTCCAGATTCATTGAGCGTCGCTTTCTGCATCCCAGGACTCTCTCTCTCTCTCTCTCTGCTCATGCTGCAGAACCTTAACTATCCAAATCTCACTTTTAAACTCACCCATGCTCAGCTTTTAGAATGCATACGGTAAAGGAGAGAAACCATCACATTATGCAAGAAAACGTCAGATAATTCTTCATAGAAAATAAGGAAAACGTAGCTAGTGCCAGGAAATGACATGATTCATGCTAATAATGCGGCTGTTGATGCTGCAGTGGTTTTCCCTGTCTGTGTTTCTGTCCAGCCACTACGTTTTGACAGAGCCTCTCCTCTGAGGTCTCCGCTTCCTCGCCTTTTAACGTGGCCATCGCTCCCACCTCCTCATCTATAATTCACAAAGACAGCCTCCTTCCCCCCAAAGACAAACACGCCCCGAGGAGTCAAGGTGAGAAAACCTTCAAAATAAAACAACTTTATTTCATTCATTTTTTCTTGCAATTTAGAAACCGAAGACGCTAGAAATGTGTAAAAATGTAATATTTTTTAGGGAAGACTGCAGCTGTTAAGTGTTGTTTTGTTATCATTGACTTGTGTCTGCAGTGACATCCTGTGATAGTATAGTGCAGCTAATAAGTAGGCAAGCATCTTATGTGGCAAAAATAGCTTGAAATCTCTACATTCAAGCTCAACGTCACCAACTTCTGCCTGAAATAACAAAGCCGTCTATTTTCTTCAGCTGCGTCGGTCTGTATGGCCCGCCGGCGTCATCCAGCTGCAAACCCATCACTTGTCAACAGACACTTCAGGGCGTTCTGTCAAAGTCGAGGGTGGTGTTGACGCGACCCCGGTGCCCCTTTCTCCTACAGTTTGCCTCTGAAAATAACCTGCATTACATATTCATCTCTGATGGGTATCAGGCGCCTTGAAGGCTAAAAAGCACTGCAGCAGGAGAGGTTGATGTTGAAAAATACTAAAACATCTCATGTGGATAATCAACTCGATGGCTGGGTTAAGAGGTTGGACAGAAAAAAACATCTCAAGGCACTTGCTTTTTAAAAAAAACTATTTACGCTACAAGGCGATGTCCCTATCTCCCACTGTTTTAGCCCTGCGACCAACAGTTGGTTAACCAACTGCAGCAGCGGCCTCCCTGCCAAACGATGACCTCGCTCCGAGGGGATGGAGGAAAAATGGGAAGAGGAGGAGGATGATTGGGTGGGACAGGACTCCATTTGTGACCCCCAAAAAAGGAGGACAGAGAGGGGGCACGTTTGCCCCCTCGCTGTCCTTCCCCTCCCACGCCGTGGTGTGTCATTCGAAGTTGGTTCCCAGGAAAGCACAGCTCGCCTCAGAGCTGCCACTATCTGTCTTTCTGCACCACACAGGCAGACAAGAGACAACATCAAATAAAATGTCCTGTTATTGCGACTTGAAAAGGGAAAGAGTGTAAGACAGTAAGGGAAAGACAAGAAGAGGAGAGATCCAAACAAGTAGGGACGTGCAGAGGGAGGAAGAAAAGAAAAGGTGGGAGAAAAAGGGCAAAGGCAGGGAGTCAGAGTTGGCGTCTGATCGCTCAGTCATCCTCCTGCTCACATAAAAATAAATGCCCGTCAGTCCCAAAACTCTTCCCGACCGAGCCGTCAGCAAACTTGTGACAGCCGGCTCTGCCGACGCCGACGGAGCGTCTCGCGGTCTCGTTCGTTTTTTCGTGTGTTTTCGCCAAAAGAGATGGTGGCTTTACATATCTCTCTGATGCACACAGAAGCAGCAGCAGCACACTCTGGGTGAACCGTCCTGCCGGCTGAATAATCAGAGTCGTCTAGACTGGGTATACGCCACAAAGACTATGGGGTCACAAAAACACAGAAACCAGCCCCTGGCTTATCACAACATCAGCTCTTTCACTCGGTTGTTCGAGTATGTCAGCAGCAAATATCCTGAATAATTATAATCTCAGCAAACAAAGGGGAGATGATGCACAGGGAGGCATTGATTAGAAATCACAGGCATTCTCCGGGGGGGGTAATTAATTCTTTATCTCTCCTGCTTTGCTAGTTTGCCATGCAATAAAGTAAACTGCATGAAAGGAACAAAATAGACCGTCTTACCTGGTGGGGTAGGGCAGCTTTTTTTTTGTCTGCAGAGAGGACTCAAGGTTGGGTGGAGGGGGTGGGGGGGCAAGGCAGCGGCTTCTGCAGAGAGCGGAGGAAAAAAATAAGACGAGATGAGAGACAGAAAAAAGGAGCGACCAGGAGTCATACGAGCAGCGCCGCGCTGACAGAGATGGCTGATGCTTTTTCGCCGGGCGAGCGGAGCCGGTATAAGCACTCTGCTGCAGCTCACACACACACACACACACACACTCTCATACACACACCGAGCCAACATG